GATGACATCCCCTGGGAACCGCAAAACTGATGCGCGCGTGCGAGAAAAAAGTTTTGCCAAAAAAAAGTTGCTTTCATTATGAAATCTACGTGGTCATGAAGGTTGAACAAACGACACAGAATATGGTTTGGCGAATAATCTACTCTTCAAATTGATTTCATTTTCGTCTTTTTTCGTTTGATTTTGGCATTCTATGACATTGGTATCGTGTTTTTAAATATATTTTTTGGCAACTTACGATATATTTTTGCTCATTTTGCAACTGTTTTGTACGATTTACAGTGTGGTTGAAAACTTTTTTTAATCGGAAACGGCCGAAAAATTCATGCGCGCGTGGACGCCACCCATATAATCAAATCAACATGGCCTTACTCTAAACAGATAGAAGATCTTGTGTACGTGCGTTTTGAATTTTCTTATCCTCTAAACCCAGTCACGACCTGACAAGTGACCAGTGATCTGTTTTTCCTAACTCATCACTGCTCTGATCTCGCGAGATTCCACGAGACACTTACCTTCGAGACTTCAGAAGGCTGGAAGTTTTCAAAGTAGACATTCCATCTTCTGGGTCAAATGTTTTCTAGTCATCCCTTCTTTTTAGTTTTGCTAAGGCCATGTTGATTTGATTATATGGATGACATCCGCGCGCGCATGAATTTTCGGCCGCCCCCCCCCAAAAAAAAGTTTTCAACCATACTGTAAATCGTACAAAACAGTTGCAAAATGAGCAAATATAAGTTGCAAAAAATATTGGAAAACGATACCAATGCCATAGAATGCCAAAATCAGACCAAAAAGACGGAAGTGTAAAGAAATGAATTTGAAGAGTAGATTATTCGCATTACCATACTGTGTCTTTTGTTCAACCTTCATGACCACTAAGATTTCATAATGAAAGCAACTTTTTTTGGCCAAACTTTTTTATTCGCACGCTCGCACCAGTTTTGGGGTTCCCAGAGGATGTCATCCATGTCATCAAATCAACATGGCCTAATGACAATGAGTGTTTGTCAGGGTTGGACATGAAGTGTGACCTATTTTCTCCGACCGTTTGGCACAGAAAACAACAGGTGTCAGCGGCACGGCGCCCTGGACTACCGGAACGAAATATGGAACGGAAGCAAACAGGCTTTACCCTAAGGACAGAGACATCAATCTTTATACAGTGGTATAGTCTCTACCAGGCTTCGAGAGGCGGCTAGAAAGAGTAGAAATTGGCTGAATAGAGCTCGAGAGATGTGGCAAATTGTGCACTCTAGCGGACCAACTCCCTCGGCATGTTATCTCTCTATTTTTTTTTATAAATCATTCTTTTTATTGTTTCTTTCAAAAATGTACACAAAAGAAAGCATGGCACAAAGAACAAAATAACTGAAACCACGTGCATAACAACAAAACTAAATAAAACCAGTAAACAATATAGATGATATAACAAAGTGTTACAAAGAAAAAAATTGGCTAGCCTCTACCAGGCTTCGGGAGGCGGCTGGAAAGAGTAGAAATCGGTCTCAACGGACAAACTGCCTTGGCAGGCTTATTTCTCTATTTCTACTCTTTTCAGCCGCCCCCATCCCAAAGCCTGATAGAGGCTAACAGCTTAGGTTAAAATAAGTCTTGAGTAGGTCTATTCTCCTATTTTTTACGCCTTACAACAACCTGGTGTCTACTAAGGGCCAAAAAGTCTCATATCAAATTCTGTTCTACAATTCTACTTTTTTTCCTCAAGTAGGATCTTCAAGGGTTATGGGCTTAGATACTTAACTTCCTCGTTCAAGTCCATTTGTGAATCCATTTCAAATCCAAGATGTAACAACAGCCCTCTACCGTACCTCTTAAGACTGTTGAACGAAATGAAATGATAGTGCTCTTAACTCTGTAAATGCCTCTCTTGTGCAAGTTGTATATGAAATAGTTTAATGTAATGTTGAAATGTACAGTACTAATGTGAATGACCAAGATTTGAATTTCACTATGCTAAATGTATGTAATATCGTGTAAATATTTTTAATGTGTAACTCTATTACCACATCTTGACTCCAAGATTGTGCAGTCGTTAAAACAGGATGTGCATCTTTGAACGTAATTCAGCTTTATGCTGCAATGTTCTTGATTTTAGCAATATAAACCTTTTTTGATTGATTGATGATTGAAAGTGAACGTGAGATTGAACAGATGGGTGAGGGTTTACATTCCCATTGAAACACATTGTGAGCTGGCGCACGTAGGCATAGAACACTTGAAAGCCATCGATTCTGTATATACGGCATTTGGCAAACAGTTTCAATAAAAGATACTTCTCGAGTTCAATGCCCCTGTTCAAAAGGATGCCGACCTCACTGTTGAGTGGTTAGGCCACAGCAAGTAATTTTTATGGATGACATCAGCGCGTGCATTGATTTTCGTCTGATTTTCGGGGGGGAAAACAAGAAATTTTGTTGCCCTCTGACAGTGGTTAACATGCTGAAAATGGGCAAAGATGTCTGTTGCCATGCCGGAACGTGGATGGCAGATAAATATGAAGAGAGGAGAAAAGAAAAGGCTCTGATTTAATGTTTACTTTTTACTTTGATGCAGTGATATGTGATGCTGGCTGTGTACATGTGGTGTTCCCACTGAATCAAAACCATGTGTACAATGATGAAGTCAAAATTTGAAAATGTAGGACCCTTGTTTTTTTGGACCCGCCTTGTTTTTTTTCGTCGCACAGGCATTATATTTGGAGTCTGTGGATGATGTCATCCATAAAATTTACTTGCTGTGGCCTAATCTTGTTTTTTGGCCCACCTTGTTTCATTTTGCCCTATCGCATTAGATTTGCGGAGGATGCCATCCATAATGTTTACTTGCTGTGGCCTTAGAACGTTAACAAGGCCCCGTAGGATAACTTAATTAGTCCAAAGGGATATGTTCATCGTCATTAGCGCGATCAGATAGCGATATATATGGGTCATTATAATCTTACCGATTCAACCACTTCCCAGTTATGTTCTCTGCACACAGCAGATAGAATTTCGTAAACAAGAAAACTAAGTTATTTCCCACGACCCCGGTGTTTGTAGGGTCCGGTTTTTTGCCCTGTGTGGTCTTCATGGTGCAATTCGGACGGGGTTACTTGAACTAGTCCAGTAGATGTAGTAGATAGGAACTAAGCAACTAGGCCAAGGTTCCGTTCTCTTGGGACATGAAGCTCTGAAAACATGTGACTCTAGCAAACAATAGTAAGGCCACAGCAAGTAATTTTTATGGATGACATTAGCGCGCGCATTAATTTTCGCATGATTTTGGGAAAAAAAAACAAGAAATTTTGTTGCCTTCTGACAGTGGTCAACATGCGGAAAATGGGCAAAGATGTCTGTTGCCAATGCGGAAGGTGGATGGCAGATAACTATGAAGAGAGGAGACAAGAAAAGGCTCTGTTTCTTACTTTGATGCAGTGATTTGTGATGTTGGCTGTGTATATGTGATGTTCCCACTCAATCAAAACCATTTGTACAATCAAAATTTTAAAATGTAGGAACCTTGTTTTTTTTCGCCCGCTCGCATTAGATTTGGAGTCTGCGGGGGATGTCATCCATAAAATTTACTTGCTGCGGCCTAATGTTATCTTTTTCCGTTCTCTTCCGATAGGTCAAATCTGTAGAATCTATAGTTTGAACCCTTGACAGTTTGTGACGAAAATTTTAGACGCAGACTCCAAATCAAATGCGATTAGGCGAAACAAAACAAGGCGGGCTAAATAAGCAAGATTTGAGTTTAATCATGTATCCCTACTTTTTCAAATTTTGACATCATTTGCCCATTTTCGGCTTGTTGATCACTGTCAGAAGGCAACAAAATTTCTCTCCTTTTTTTCCAAAATTAGGCGCAAATCAATGCTCGCGCTGATGTCATCCATAAAAATTACTTGCTGTGGCCTAAATCAGAGGCCGGGCATTGACTCTAAAACCCGTACGTGTAACTAACACGTGATTGAGTAAAGTGCAGAATGTGGAAACACTTGAACTCTGTATTCGCAATCCGTGTCTAGTACCACAGGTGCGCCGAGCACCCCGCCCAAAGCCGTATAGATCAAAGTTCAAACTCCTTTCTCAATCACTACCCTGGCCATACGGACACTGAACCTCCTGGTAGGGATATTTTCATTATAGCTATTTTATTTTCCACAGTTGTTTTCTTTTGAGGGGCCGATCCCTAGTGCTCTAGCCTCTATCAGGCTTCAGGATGCGGCTCGAAAGAGTAGAAATTGGCAGAATAGGGAGATGACATGCTAGGGGATTTGGTACGCTTGAGAGTACATTTTGCCGCACCCGGTGTGCCTTCGCATGTTATCTATCTATTAGGCCAATTTCTAGGCTTTCCAGTCGCCTCCCGAAGCCTGGTAGAGGCATGTTATCTCTCTGTTAGGCCAATTTCTAGGCTTTCCAGCCGCCTCCCGAAGCCTGGTAGAGGCATGTTATCTCTCTATTAGGCCAATTTCTACTCTTTCCAGCCGCCTCCCGAAGCCTGGTAGAGGCATGTTATCTCTCTATTAGGCCAATTTCTACTCTTTCCAGCCGCCTCCCGAAGCCTGGTAGAGGCATGTTATCTCTCTATTAGGCCAATTTCTACTCTTTCCAGCCGCCTCCCGAAGCCTGGTAGAGGCATGTTATCTCTCTATTTGGCCAATTTCTACTCTTTCCAGCCGCCTCCCGAAGCCTGATAGAGGCATGTCATCTCTCTGTTAGGCCAATTTCTACTCTTTCCAGCCGCCTCCCGAAGCCTGGTAGAGGCTAGAGCACGTGTTGTCCTCCCCATCCATTAGACAAGCCCCCACGGATCACGTGGTCTTCACACCGGGCCCGTAAATGCGTACGTGACCTCGTCCTAGTTCCGAGCGGGGGCGCTCGGGGAGTCCTGCCGACTGACGGAGAGCCATGAGGGGATAGCCGGCGGAATAGTACACAAGCCAGCCAGGGTTAACGTTTCTGTAGCTCACCATGCCGTCTGCTTTCTGTTGACAGAACTGAAGACACGGGGACCATGATGAGATGGGCCGTGCACTAGTGCTGGCTGCCATGTGCCTAGCAGGTGAGAGATTCTACATGTTTCTACACCGTCTCATATATTTTCTTAAGTGTCTATTGTGCTTTTTAGCGGTCGCTAAGAAGCCAGTGCTACCGACGGTTGAGTGCACTTGGCGTGTTTAATTTGCAGGTGATTAAACAAAAGTAGAGGCTACCCGCATGGGGTCTTTATAAACCGTCTGCCACTGCCAAGTCCACCCGCACGAAATACCTGACAAGATTAACCCCGTTTACAACATAGATCGCGCTCCGGAGATACATAGATAGTAGTCTCTACCAGACTAACTACGCTGGCTATATGTAGGAGAATATTTGCCAGTTTGGCCGCCTTGTAGGTTTGACTGGCCGCGCAGGGAAAGAAACTACCTCCCCGCGACCGGACTCCCTTGGCCAATTTTACTCTCTTTTTTTGCCGAATTCTACTATCTGTATTCCCGTAGAAAGGCCTGGTGGAGGCTACATAGATAGATAGCTATCGTGGCACACACACTATCCGTTTACTCACACGGTTCCGCAAAGTCAACATCAAATAGACATGATGTTGTTGAACAAACCAAGCACACGGCCAGCGGCGGTTTGTGTTGGTTCAGTTGCGGCGACCGCCACAATTCAATCTTGTTTCTAAGGACCTGGGGGACGCCTTTAAGCCACGAGGCTTAGGTTTCATACGCGCCTTTCTTTGTGTTGTGTGCATTTTGTGTTAAAGCTGCTGCCAGGAATAACGAACTAGATATGCATGTAAATGTCACTTGCCGTCCCAAAGTCGCGACAGAGAGCAAACAAAGTCGTTCTGCTATAATCTCACATGTCTGTGTCTTTACGTGGTGTGCGTGTGTTTATATTACATCATAATCATAGAGAATTCCATAATCACTGTCGTCAAGTATCGCAAAACGTAATGATCATTTAGTGCACGTCCGGGTGTATGATGTAACACCGTCAGACAATGAACAGTGCTTACCTATATGTAACTTTCTGCATGTATGTCGCGTCTTAGCATGGTTAGAACCCAATGTATCTACATGTCATTAGTTTCCCACAAGCCTAACTGCACTTATTCCGTCTTAACTAGTTACCTTCGCCAAGAAGGTTATGTTTTCAGTAGCGTTTTTGTGTGTGTGTGTGTGTGTGTGTGTGTGTGTGTGTGTGTGTGTGTGTGTGTGTGTGTGTGTGTGTGTGTGTGTGTGGTTTAGCAAGATAACTCAAGAAGCAGTGGATGGATTGGAATGAAACTTTGTAGGTTGGTAGGTCTTCATAAGACCTAGAAATGATTAGATCTTGGGCCCCCTGGCGGCTTTCCTAGGTACTGCAGCAGAACTTCCGGTTTTGATATCTCGTGATCTGGACATGCTAGGATCACGAATTTTGGATGGCAGATAGCTCTTGGGATAGGGAAGAAGTGACATGAGTTTGGGTCCCCTAGTGGCTTGTTATGTAATAGATTTAGCTAGTTTGTTGTGTGTACAAGAAGGTTTACAGCGCATAAGTTAGGCCACACAATGCAGTCCTTAGCTTGTTTCTAACGCCCTTCAGTGTAAGGCCTAGGAAAAAATATTGTGTTTCCTGTTTCCCGACCGACCCTAGAAAAAACTGCCGACCCTATAGCTAGCATTTTTTGTGTTAACCCCAGCAAGGGGCATAATTTTTTCAAGCTGATCGACCTTTTCCAGCTCCATGAGTGGTGAAACATTGTACAATTGGCTTTCCTACATTGACATTGTAAATAAAAGTGTCATTATGCAAGTTATACTTTTTTAATTGGATTGCTAGAGATTGCCAAAGTCTAAATAAAAAAGAAAGACAAAAAAAGGGAATAATCTCTACCTACCAAACCTAATTTTTTTCAGGACTGAAACAGGAAACACAACATTTTTTCTAAGGCCTAAGTACTGTACTCTGGTATCAGACTACAGTCTCCTCTCAATAGGACCGACCCAAGGTCCAGCCTATGCTGACAACAGACTGTAACAAGCTGTCTGTCTGGATAAAGAGAACTCCGATATTGACTTAACACTGAGAACAGAACAGGGCTTCTAAAAACGTCTTTTATATCTGTGATATTCTGAAACTAAAATGCGTTGTCTTCTTACTTGTGAATATGAATTGTGTGTCACTCTATGTCGGATGTGCTCTAGTATAATCTAAATGATGCATTGTGGTAAGAACGCAATCGGGCAACTCTTAAATAAAACTTCACTTCACAAATTTAATCTACCAAAATGAAAGAAGACGAGCTGATTTCCAATACCACAGGCAGGGATATTAAAAGAAATGGGAAAAAATGATCAACGGAAACCCTTGTGAGAGCAAAACACACCAGATCTTTAAAATCTTCCTCACATATTCTTTAGTTTTCCTATGATCTAATATGTCTTTGAAATCAAATCTCTCAGTTGAGCAAAACCAATGTAGACACGTTACCATTTGACCCGACAGGAATTAAACGGAAAGTCGCTATTTTTCATGCGTTCCGCATCGCGGCTTTAGACAATCAATATACGGATGGCGCTAAATTTACTATAATGGGGCATCATGAACTCATTAGTTGCAGAGAATCTATTGTCGTTTGTCCGACGTCTAATTTTCGACGTCGTTAGACCGTCTAAGACAGGTTTAATTTTCACATCGGTCATGGTTAATAGTTTGTTTGGTCGTTACTAGGAGTCATTCGGACATCCCACAGCGCACTTTGTGATTGTACAATCAGTTTCACAACACGATGGCGACCTGGCACAACGTTGTTACCTTCGCCATGAAGGTTATGTTTTCAGTAGACTATTTGTCTGTCTGTCTATGAACAGCATAACTCAAGAAGCTTTATATGCATGGTCATGAAACTTGGTAGGTGGGTAGGTCTTGATGAGACCTAAATATTATTAGATTTTGGGCTCCCTGGCGGCTTTCGTTGGTACTACAGCAGAACTCTCGGTTTTCATATCTCAGGATCTGGGCTAGGGAAGACGTTACATGAGATTAGGCCACCTAGCGCTTGTTCTGGAACTGCAGGAGCGTTTCTTGAAAATATTTTTCAATGTCGCGTTCTTCTTTAAAATCTGGCCGGTCATCCTCCTACAGGGGTGTTTTTTGTCGATAAGAGCTATGAGTTGATTGCTTTGGACAGGGGAACGGAAAACTCAATTTCTATGTAGATAGAACCAGATTGGGACAGGAAGGAGGGAGGAAGGGGTGGAATTACGGAAGGCTTATGTAGCCACTGCCGCTGGCATCTGTAAGGGTTAGGTTCAATGTGGGAGCGACCATCCTAACATACGGCCCACGAAACTGTACTTGTTCATGACTGCTACGACCTAAATCTCAAACTGTAAGTTTGCTTCTTGGAGAAAAACACTACAAACATCGGGCTTTATAGAAGTTTTATTGCAAATTCATGCCCGGGGGGCTAATTGCAGATTACAAACATAAAAGAACAATGAAACGTAGTATAAAATGACTAAAATCTACATCATAAAAGGTAGTTGTCTAGAGCTATAGCTATGTCTAAAACTATGTCTAAGGGGTTTGACTTCTCTTTTTTAGACCATGAAAGACGTAATGTCCCACCTTTTCTAAAATCAGTGGGTTTTGGGAAGTTAAAAGAAGAATAGTTTTTTCTTGGTCTGTAAGTTTAGTAAAATTGGGATAAATTGTAGAAGTTTGAATAGTTAACTCATTTCGAGCGTTGTTATGAAAGGAACAATTTGAGATAAAGTCAATGTTGTGGGGTATTTCTTAATCTCATAGAGATTTCGGGACAAAAAGCCAAATGTATGCTTGCTTGAAGTTGCTTCGGTGAAAATCATGCATTTTAATTCCTCTCTTTGACTTTGACTTTAAAAATAGCGATATAAAAACACACAGACCATATGGAACGTCTTCACGGCCCGCCCTAGAAAACAGAAAGCTATCCTCTAGAAAACAGGACTAGCCTGGGAAGTCTTGTCAACAACCCTTTTCTCTAGTGGACGCAAAAATGTGGCTCGTTTCTCTGCACTTCGTTCCAGATGATCCCTGACCTTCCTCCTGGCGAAAACCACTGAGGAGATAGGCGCTTGGAGCGGGGTTCATTCAAAACACTGCAGTTAATCACGATTTTTACCTCCGTCAAGAAGGTTATGTTTTCAGAGGCGTTCCTCTCTCTCTCTCTCTCTCTCTCTCTTTGCGCTCTCTCTCTCCCTCTCTCTCTCTCTCTCTGTGCCTGTCTGTCTGTCTGTGTCTGTAAACACGATAACTTGAGAAGGCTTAAATGGATTGACTTGATATTTGGTAGGTGGGCAGGTCTTGATGAGACCTCGAGATGATTAGATTCTGGGCCCCCTAGTGTCTTGCTAGGGTTACGAAATTTGGATGAAAGGTAGCTCTTGTTTTCACGGTACTCGCGGTTTTTGCGGTCACTTCTGTACTGTGAACTTATTACCGTGAACAAATAATTTGCCGACTTTCTTTTTGCTTCACCTGCCGCCACTGCGAACGTAGAGTCCCACCAACATCCGTATCTGTATAACCTGTATAACCGCTCTACTACGGCGTAACACACCAGCTTCTGTATCTGTATAGCCGGTATAACCGCTCTACTATACGGCGTAACACACCAGCTTCTGTATCTGTATAGCCGGTATAACCGCTCTACGGCGTAACACACCAGCTTCTGAATCTGTATAGCCGGTATAACCGCTCTACGGCGTAACACACCAGCTTCTGTATCTGTATATATATAGCCGGTATAACCGCTCTACGGCGTAACACACCAGCTTCTGCATCTGTATAGCCGGTATAACCGCTCTACGGCGTAACACACCGGAGTAACATCTGGTAGGAGAGAATATACACAAAGACCTCCCTTGTTTAACAGCGCGGTTACGTAATGACTTAACTTGATGCTTGATTGAGCTAGAATGGCCCTGGAGGAGTCCAGCAAGCCCAAAATACACGGGTATGTCAGCGATGGCGAGTATTCGGATCTAGCAACCCGACACTGCCGTTGTACAGCCATAACAACGGATTCTG